GGACAAGGTGCAACAGAGGGTCAAGCGGTCGGACTACAACGCAGACAAGATGCACCACGATACCATAGATCTGCGCATGCAGCTATGCACGACTGCTGCGAGGCTCGCCGGACTTAAGATGCAGCGCCGAAAGACAAGGGACGGCGGTATCAAAGAAGTCTACAATATCGGGCCAGGCACGCGTTTGCGGATATACGATCTTCGAGATCTGAATGGTATGTCTAGGCTATACCTGTCGAGGTGATATGCTAACTTTGAATCAGATGTGACGCCTGATGGCCTATCTGCCTCACTGGCTGCCGTGGCCCAGCTCGTCGTTCGAGTCGCTGCGTACCTGGGCATCCGCCTCCCTGCCGAAATTACACTCCCCCATGCCGATTATCCTCAACCCACAATCTTCAGTCCGGCATCCTCTTACCAGGGCAAGAAAGTACCTTTCCCTGGCTCGGCACCTTCACATTCGTCCAGCGCCAGCCCGGAAGCGTCCCGAACGCTTGAGACGCGTATCCATCTTCCGAAGCCGCGCGCGTTATTCGTCGACCGCCCTCTGAGCCACCTCTGCGCCGAAGATCCTCCTGCATACTCGTCCTTTATTGAAGGCGTGTCTCTGCTTGCGTACAATGTGGCTTGGCTATGTCGAACCCAGGGCATGAAAGACAGCTTCAAACAGTGGGAGGATACTTGTTCGATCGGTCGCAATCTGTTCCGACTACTGATCACGCAAGAAACATACAACCCCCAACGCCTCGAGAATCCATTGGACAAAGATATTACCAGTTCCAGGTCTTCTAGATCGATCCTCCGCAAGTCACCTGTAGGCTTTGGGCAGCTTTCACACGCTACTTCACATTCTTTCCTAGGCATGGCCGAGAACGCACAGTACATCAGCGGATGGGGCTTGTCGCCAACTAAGATTATCGACGAGCTGAGGGGATATCTGTTGGCTGAGCAGCAGGCGCAAGAATGGGACGTGTTGAACCAGAAAGAATGGGAAGACATGGAGAACTTGATCGCGGAAGACCCCATTCTTGTTGGTGAGAAACGGCGAGGTAACACCGGCCTCGACGATGGGCGTAGCTACCTCACGTCGACTACGAGGAACGGAAAGTCTTCACCATCACAGACGGGACATGTCTCCCAGAGCGAGCAGACAGCGCGGAAGAAAGGCATAAGTGGATATGTGAAGCTTAAGAGCCGGCCAGAGGAGGATGCATACTAAGCATCACCATTATACCCCCAAGATACCCATAGACGTTTGCGCCCTTCATAGACCTCTCCACTTCAATCAGATTACGATGCAAATCACTTGCCATTGAGCGCCAACGTCAAATTGTGCTTACGTATCCAAAAACTCTATAAAGCATCTCGCCCGAACAACCTGCTGGACTTGGTAGCACTCGCAGCGCGATGTGTAATCGAAAAGCTGCCAAGGCCGTCACAAGGCGGGTCGGAGAATACTATGACACCATCTCCGCTTGCTCACGAAACCAACGCGCGCTTTGGGCCGAGCTGTGTATGCCACGGTTTGAGCAATCGCCGCCTGATTAATCTGCTGCTGAGAAATGTCAGACGTCCAACGCGGCCTGTTGGGTATAAGATGGCAGGAGCCATGAAGATGGTTCTCCCTTGCTTTCCATCTCCACTTTGACAGGAAATTCTGCAAGAAAGAATTATTCTGCATTCGCGCCATCACGGTCAACCGCACATGCACCACCGATAGAAAGCGCGCTAGGATTTGTCGCTAGAACAATAATTTACCTACAGGCGTTAACACCTCGGAGGGCCTGAAATTTGGAAAGAAGTTTGTCCTCTCGCTGCATTTCGAGGTTCAAGTTCCTTCGTACCACCACGTCAACTCCGCCCGCCGTTCACAGAGCATTCAGAAGATCAAGATGACGCTCCCCGACCACCCCATCGACACCCCGCCACGCGCGCCGTCACCAGTCCACGGATTCGGCACGCTCGCCGTGCATGCCGGAAGCCCCCATGACCCCGTCACCGGAGCTGTCATTGAAGCCGTAAGTATTTCAGGCGCATGTCTCACAAACACACGGCTAATCCAATCAGATTTCCCTCTCGACAACATTCGCGCAAACCGCCGTTGGAAAGCCCATCGGCGAGTATGAGTACTCGCGCTCCTCGAACCCAAACCGGTACGCATGCGCGACACCATTCAGATATTCAAAACTAATGCGCCCGCAGAGACAACTTTGAAAAGGCAGTCGCAGCCCTCGAACACGCCCGCTATGCGCTCGCGTTCTCGTCCGGTTCCGCCACCACAGCCAACATCCTGCAATCGCTCGCCGCAGGCTCACACGTCGTGTCCGTTTCAGACGTCTACGGCGGAACGCACCGCTACTTCACCAAGGTCGCCCTGACGCACGATGTCAAAGTCACCTTCAGCCCGAGCATCGAGATCGACATCGCCGAGCTCATCCGCCCCAACACGAAGCTCATCTGGATTGAGTCGCCGTCGAACCCCACGCTGACGCTTGTGGACATCCGCAAGATCTCCACGATTGCGCATCAGCATGGCATCATGGTGGTTGTAGACAACACCTTCATGAGCCCGTACGTTCAGAACCCGCTGGACCACGGCGCGGATATCGTGGTGCACTCCGTCACAAAGTACATCAACGGCCACTCTGACGTCGTCATGGGCGCCGCGGCCTTCAACTCCGATGAGCTATACGAGCGTCTGTCTTTCCTCCAGAACGCCATTGGTGCCGTTCCCTCGGCCTTCGACTGCTGGCTCGCACACCGCGGTCTCAAGACCCTGCATCTCCGCGCGAGGGAAGCAACCAAGAACGCTACGGGCGTCGCAAAGGCTCTCGAGGCCTCATCACACGTCGTTTCCGTCAACTACCCCGGTCTTCCCTCGCACCCACAACACCACATTGCGCTGAAGCAGCATCGCGACGGAATGGGTGGCGGCATGCTTTCCTTCCGTATCCAGGGCGGTCACGCAGCTGCAGAGCGTTTCTGCCAAGCGACCAAGATCTTCACACTGGCTGAGTCGCTGGGTGGAGTTGAATCGCTCGTCGAGGTACCCAGCGCCATGACGCATGGTGGTATTCCTAAGGAGCAGCGCGAGGCAGCGGGTGTCTTTGACGATCTTGTCCGCATCAGCTGTGGTGTTGAGGATGAGGCGGATCTTGTTGCTGATGTCAAGCGTGCGCTTGAGGAGGCGGTTGTTGGTCCTAAGATTACGAACGGAAAGGTCTCCAACAATGCTGCGCCGGCTGCTCAGTAAGTCTTACTCTGAGTGCCGTGGGGTTGTACCAGGTGGAGAAAAGTAGCTTGTATGAGCACATATGGATAGATGGCGTTTTTGTTCGGTATGGGCTTATGACCCTTGTGATGGATATGATATCAGAGATAATCTCAATCGAAAAGTGTTGTGTCGTAGTAAGACACGGAATCATCGAGATTGTCTGTCTTTGTGCATCTGTACTTTCCATATGCGAATTGCACAAGCTGTGATTGGTTTGTCATCCGCCCATGGTTACTACGAACCAGGGTAAGGGAACCAAAGTATGGCTGCAGGCAAGTGGTGAGTCAAAGGAGAGTATATTGTATAATCGATGTCCATCTCTGATATGGGCACGACAGTCAATCACAGTTCAGCCGAAGTGACCGTAACAGCAACGATCAGTGCTCTCAAAGCCATGTTTCCTCCCCCAATCTCACTTGAAGAAGTGCGCTGCCTGTTCCAGCAGCTTTTGGCACGTAACCACGATAACCCGAATATTCACGCACATCCCGTATTCATTTCCCTCGATATCGCACACGGAAACCCCAAGCGCTTCAGCGCTATCGGAGCCTCCACACTCGACACGAGGAGTCTCACAACTTCACACTTCTCAACACCGATGCACCATACTCACCCGCCCCTCCACACAGAGACTTTCGACTTCCGGTACGGCCGAGTAGGCGTAAATAGAAAGCAATTGCGGGCCTTGTTCCATGGCCAAGTGCACCAAGTGCGATGGAGCGAGCGCGCTGCCGTCCTCAACCACATCTTTTCTCACTACGTCAATGGAGATAGGGAGCCGTGCTGTAACGCGCGCAAGCTACCTCTGTATGACTCATCGAAAGTCAATGACTCAAACGAACAGCGACTGCCAATTATCGTTGTTGGCCACGATATCCCTTCGGATCTTCTCTCGTTGAACAAGGCGGGTGTCAGCATAAATGACATAGCCACCGTGACCGCGATCATCGACACGCAGAAGCTTGCTCGCGAGATGTACAAGACTGACGATCCTGGATGGAATGTGTCGCTCCGAACGCTATGTCGCCTGGTCGGTATGATACCTACAAAGTTGCACGATTGCGGGAACGATGCTGCGTGGACGCTACTTGTGCTTCTTAGTCTCGCTGCGGAGCTGATTAGCGAGGATGACGCAGGAAGAGATATACTAGAGGAGATTGTAAGAGAAGGTACACGCGACAGTAAGACTAGGAAGCAAAGGGACAAGGGAAGTAGAGTGAGGAATAAAGAAGATCAGGTAGATTGGGCGGACAATCTCGTTGTTGAAGTTCCTTGAGTTGCACTGCGCAGCAAGCTCATTGTACAGTCCGTCTGATACCTGGCTCGGGTTCGGCATCTATACTGTTGCTGCGCATGGGTGTGGTGTTTTGGTCTTGGGTCACTTCTCTAAAGCTGGGTTGTTTGGGTCCGTTGAACGTGGCTTCCCCATGAGCACGACCTCCTCTAGAGAGCGACTTCCTTTCTTCACAAGCGAGTTCGCCACACAGTCAGCGACTTCTTCATGTGGATGCATCCAAATCAAAGCTAAAACTGAGCTTCTCAGGCTTTAAGCTCATCGTTCAAGCTTCGTGTTTAATTGGAGGGACTTGTCCGGTGATATGAACATAGAAGTTTAGTGACTGCATGAAAATAACTGTATTACGAATAACTCTCGACAGGTATTGCCGTGCCTCGTCTATGTCACCCGCCAATCAAGTACAGGAACAGCAGAAACGTCGCGACCTCTCTACACGCCAACGCAAACGTTGGTCTCTGCCCACATGCTTTGACAGTTGGATCCAACGCCAGTGTTCCACTTGACAAAGTTCGCCAGAGTGATCTTCTCATAGCTGATGATCTGCTGGCAAGTGTCGCCCTTGGAGACGTAGTGGAACTTCCTGCAGTTGGAGACCATGCCAGGCTGGGTAGGTTGAGGGGTTTGAATGCCGTTTCCGGCAGAGGTGGTGGTGGTTGGCTTCTTGGTAGTAGTTGTGGTCGGGGTACCTCCGATAACACCAACGCAGACATTGACCTCAGCCCACAAGCCAGAACAGTCGTTATTCACACTAGGGTTCCACTTGGCAAAGTCAGTGAGGGCGATCTTCTGGCTGCTGAGCACTTGGCTGCAGCTAGAACCCTTAGGCACGTAGTAGAACCTGTTGCAGTTAGAGACCATTCCGGGTTGGGTTGGCTGAGGTGTCTGAATGCCGTTTCCTGCGGATGTAGTGGTCGACGGTTTGGCGGTCGTGACGGGGGTTCCTCCACCAATGACGCCAACACAGACGTTCACTTCGGCCCACAGACCAGAACAGTCGTTATTCACACTGGGATTCCACTTGGCAAAGTCGCCGAGGCTGATCTTCTGACTGTCGAGCACTTGGCCGCAGTTGGTGCCCTTCTCGACGTAGTAGAACTTGTTACAGTTGGAAACCATTCCAGGCTGAGTGGGTATGGGAGTGGCAACACCATTACCGGCCGTGGTGGTGGTACTGGCCTTGGTAGTCGTAGAGGAAGTGGTGGGCCTCGGAGCAGAAGTGGTGGTGGTGGCCGGCTTAGTGGTTGCTGATGTGGTGGTGGTTACAGAAGTCGAAGTTGTGATCGGGTCGTCGGTAACAGTGCCAATCACACAGTCTAGTTGTCGATGTAGGAAGTCAGCGTATACATCACATGCAGTTCGTAGAGAGAAACTTACACTCATTGCTGGTGTCGAGGTTGGGGCAGGTGATACCGGGGTTCAGATTCTTGAGATCGTCGACAGACAGTCCCCAACTGGATGCAAAACTCTCGCACGTCGCACCGCTGTCAGCTGTGGTAGAGAATCCACAGTCAACGCCCCGGCGAAGATGAGCGGGCCATGCCAGGGCCGATCCCGTGAGGAAACCGGCAGCAAGTAAACGTGTAAGTTGCATCTTTGGGAGTTTGCAGTATTACAGAAAAGTTGTAGAAACGAGTGTGGAATGGAGCAAGCTTGATGTCTTGATGGCAAGATGGGAACTCAACGACGCTCTATGCCATCTTTCTTATACCTTTCATCGCAGTTCCCCATCTTCTTTACTTGGCTCTTCGTGTTCTAGCGTTCGAATAATTAGGCGGCAGACCAGGCGGGTCACTGGTGTTGGAAGCGGCCTGCATAGTTCATTCAGGAACTTCGGATGAGCTGACAACGGGGCGTAAGAGAAGCAATTGACGATACCACTAGCGCAGCCACAATAGCGGCCGGTGAAGAGTTTCCCCTGATTGTCCCTGCACTTGAGGCAGCAGCCATTAACGGTTCGGGAACGGACCGGAAGTGGACATGAGGAACGGCAAGAACGCGGCTCGCGCGAGGGAGGTGGAGGCGAAGGCGTGGATGCCAAGCGGGCGTATTGGCGTTTTAGCCGCTAGCGTTGTTGCACGGTCGTTTGATAGGCCGCCCTCCGCCTTCAGCAAGGTACCTTGCATTCACTCTATCGATCCTCAATGTAACCTAAATCTTCCACTTATATTTTTTCCACTTCTCGACTGTCTCCTTCTGTTCTACGACTACATCGACGCACCTTCGCCCCCAACTCCTCAGCCACCTACCTACCGTCGCTGCTTGGCGTCAGCATGCTGGTCGCCTTACTCCTCGCCGCTTGCGCGGGAGCCGTCAACGCAGCCTCCGGCATGCTAGAGGTGGACCTCGTCTTTCCTCGCAACGAGACCTATGCCGCGACGCAAATTTTTCCAGTCATCGTTGCCATCCAGAACCCCGACCTAGGGCGATTCTTGAATCCTACGCTAGACGTGACGGTCACGAACGTGGAAACACAGGCTAGCAGAGACCTGTTCTACCACCTAAGATGGGCGAACTTCTCCGGCAGTGAGCCTTATCAGGAGGTCAAAATCCTTTCGAACTTCACCGAAGAGGGCGTGTGGGCGCTTCGCTTGGATGTGGGCTGGAACAGTTGCACCGAGGACTCGCTTGCATTCCTCGGAGGTGGTCTCGCAGCCAACCGCACGAGTCGCTCCACATTCTTCACCATCAAGAGTTCCGCACCAGAATTAGATCTCGTAGCCGCCACAACGAATCGAGACTGCACCGACAATGAAGCAGTTGCCATCAACGTCGACGCCACCCTGCCGGTCCCTGATTTTATCACCTGGGAGGATTATGATGGAAAGACTTGTGCATCTATGGCAGCCACCACACCGGCCCCGACTCCCTGCAACATCAAGATTGATGCGGCTGCTGCTTCAAACATTTCTGCATCCATGACCTCGCTTCATTGCCAGGCAACTCGAAAGCCTGGAGACTCTTGTCCAACTGACGAGAAGAGCACTGCACAGCGACTGATTGGTGGAGGTACGGCAGGATTGGTGGCCGCATTTGGTACATTCGGCTACATGATGGTGTGAAGATCTTCACAGTTACTTAATACACATTCACTCGGTTGTTGAGCGATTGACTTCCACTCCTATCTTAATTGGGACGACCATATTGCACATCGATACGTCAGATTTTGACTGTAAGCAATAGCTAAGCAATAGCTTTAGATTACAAGACTTTTCCCGCTTGGACCGTTGCATCAGGCCCCCATCAGGATCAATCTATGGAATTGCCGGGAGTTGGGCCGCACCGTGGGCAGCTCGGGTCTGACGGCACCGAAGTACGGCTGAACTACGGGCCAGGCCGTCTGTAGGAACGGTCTAGTCTGGGTAAAAGCTTTGCTGAACGCTCCAGGATGACTGCAAGGCTACCTGGACTGGTACATCGTAGGGCTGATCTCAGACCGAACCCCTGCATACACCCGCGGATTTTCATCTCATGCTTGTTGGAGACCTACTGTGGCATGCCTCGGAAATGAGCATCCACAACAGGCCCCCCAAGGGCGGGTAAGCAATGACCGTGTTAGGTCCACTGACCGGAAGTTCGCCTTACGGGACACGAATCTCAAGATGGTCAGAGGTCTATCTAGGTCGTTCGATACGAACCTTGACGAGCAACGGTGTGACTGCAGACAGTATAAAGCAGACTTCACCTTGTCGATAGCTAGGGCACCAGGTATCCAAAGTCACTCTTTTGACTCTGGTAGCTTCTCCTGTCACATTCATTTGCAGCCCTAGAGCTCAGTATCTTGACTGAGATAGCTTCAGTTGTTGTATTACAGCTATGGTTGCCTCAGCATGGATGAGCCCAGCAGTCAGGGCAATCGGATTCTTGCTCTTTGTGGACAGTGTGTCCGCGAAAGGAGACTTCAGACTTGCTACGAGCCCGAGCTACCGCAACTCTAATCCTTGCCCAGAACGATGCAGCATCTCTGGCGCGAACACGGGCAACTGGTCTGCCTACCCCAACTTCCAGCAGATCAAGCGGTGTACGGAGACCATGTTCTACGACTTCTCTCTTTACGACGAGGTCGATGACGATTCGAGCAACCACCGTATCAATGCCTGCTCCTCGTTTGGCACCGACTTCACTGAGCTTGCCAGCTCGGAACCGAATTCGACCAACACCGCCCAGACTGTCGACGTCGATTTCGAGATTGGCTGGTGGAATGAAGGCTTCGGCCTGGCTGCCTCCGGTCTCCGATCGCTCATCGCGCAAATTCGAGAATACGCAGACAACGGACATGGCGCTACTGATCGACCCTTCATCATGTTTGGCCAGTCTGGTCAAGCTACGATTGGTTTATACATTGGCCAAGGCTTGTTGAATCAGGGGCTCAGCGCTTCCGCCATGAAGCTTTTTGAAGACAAACTCGACAACCTCAATGTTTCGACGCCCAGCTTGGCTATGCAGCTTTGCGAGCCAAGCTACGGTAGCGATCATATCTTTGGACTCATGGTCACCAGCAACGGCACATTCACTCCAGTGCAAACTGCCATCAAAACTTGGGCCAATGCGACATGTCTATCCTTCTCCGAATCGACCAACATCACCGGACAGGCCATCTTTACCACGCCACTGGTACCCACGAACAGCACTACGAACTTCACCTTGTCCAATTCCACCTCGCTATTCGAGCGAACCAGTCAGCACCAAGCACACAAGAGGTATCCATCTCATGCCAGGTTTCACGCTCGTGCGGACTGCAGGACCGTTCAAGTCGATTCTGGCGACAGCTGTGCCAAGCTGGCTACCAAGTGTGGCATCACTGCTGCGGAGTTCACCAAGATCAATTCGGACTCGAGCTTCTGTGCAAATCTGAGGCCAAAGCAACACGTTTGCTGTTCGAGTGGAACCCTTCCGGATTTCAGTCCCAGTCAGGGGTCGGACGGCACATGCTACACATACCAGGTCAAGACTGACGATAACTGCGACGATCTTGCTGCCCAATTCAGTCTCACGAGGGACAAGATTGAAGACTTCAATAAGAACACATGGGGTTGGAACGGCTGTAAGCTCCTCTTTGTAGGCACCAACATGTGTTTGAGCAAAGGTAGTGCGCCATTTCCAGCCCCTATTGCCAACGCACAGTGCGGCCCGCAGAAGCCCGACTCGAAACCGCCCACCGATGGCACAAAGGTTACAGATATGAATCCCTGTCCTTTGAATGCATGCTGCAACATCTGGGGCCAGTGTGGCATCACCAAAGACTTTTGCGTCGACACCAACACTGGTGCTCCTGGTACTGCTAAGCCGGGTACTTACGGCTGCATTTCCAACTGTGGAACCGACATCGTTAAGGGCTCTGGCAGCGGCGGTATCAAAATCGCCTACTACGAGGGCTATGGGATGGGCCGCGACTGTCTCTTCCAGGATGCCTCTCAGATCGATACTGCAGCGTATACGCACATTCACTTCGCCTTTGGCACGTTGACTAATTCATACGAGGTTGAGACTGGCGATGTGCTATCAACATACCAGTTTAACGCATTCAAGAAGATCAAAGGCGCGAAGAAGATCTTGTCGTTCGGAGGATGGGACTTTTCCACCTTTCCTGCTACGTACAACATCTTCCGGGAAGGTGTCACATCCGCCAACCGACTCAAGATGGCCACCAACATTGCGAACTTCATCAAGAAGCACGAACTTGATGGTGTTGACATTGATTGGGAGTACCCTGGTGCACCCGATCTTCCGGGCATACCTGCAGCTAGCAAGGCTGATGGCCCGAACTACCTGGCCTTCCTCGTCGTTTTGAAGAACCTTCTGCCCGGGAAGTCAATTTCCATCGCCGCCCCCTCCTCATATTGGTACCTCAAGCAGTTTCCCATCAAGGACATTGGCAAAGTGGTCGATTACATTGTCTACATGACTTATGATCTTCACGGCCAGTGGGATGCAGACAATTCCTATTCTCAGGAGGGATGCGCTACAGGTAACTGCCTGCGCAGTCAAGTCAATCTGACGGAGACAAAGCAGTCTCTTGCCATGATTACCAAAGCAGGCGTTCCAGGAGCCAAGGTTATCGTTGGTATCACGAGTTATGGACGATCCTTCAACATGGCCGAAGCAGGTTGTTGGGGCCC